AAAAAAAAAAAAAAGACTAAAATTATATAAGATGTAAAAAAAGGGGGTTATGTCTTACTTATTGTTTGAGAAATGAACAACTAAGTGAGAAAGATGAGGAAAAGTAGAAAAATCTCTACCAAAAGAGAGAAAAATGGAAAGAAAGTGTAGAGAATGAAAGAATAAAAGAGGCAGGAAAAAAACATAGCAAAATTAGAGCTCTTGCTGTCAAGGAAAGTAGAAATTTAAAATTAAAAATACACACAAAAAAGAAAACTAAAGAAAAAAAGTTGAGAAGAGAAAAAAATACATATATTGTAGTATGTTGCCTGGATATCAGGTGGTGCTCAAAAAAGACAGGGAAAAAGAGAAAAAAGGTGGCCTGGCACTCATAGCTCAGTGGTTATGGCGCCTGCCACATAAACCAGGGCTGGCGGGCTTGAGCTGGCCCAGACCTGCTAAACAACAACAACTACAGTTAAAAAAAAAATAGCCGGGCATCATGGCTGGTGCCTATAGTCCCAGTTACTTGGGAGGTTGAGGCAAGAGAATCACTCAAGCCTGAGAGTTTGAGGTTGCTGTGAGCTATGATGCTTTGGCACTCTACCGAGGACAACATTGTGAGACTCTGTCTCCAAAAAAAAAAAAAGGAGAAAAAAGGTGCATAATGCAGTCTAGTGCCTGGACCCCAGCTGGTACTGTGGTATTAGGAAACACAAAACCTGCAAGGTGGCTTTGTTGTATAAGATGGGGGCTGAAAGTCACTATGTAGTTGCCTAGGAGACCTAGTCCCATCTTCCTGATTTATTTGTTCTTAGTCAGGGCTTGGTCTGTTCTCTAGCTTTCAGTTCCTGTAGGGTTTGGAGCCTGAAGCTCTCGTCAGACTTCTTACGGAGGCACACCTTGACCTTCCAACAGTGTCCCTTGGCCACAAACTCTGGCTTTCCCAGAGGTGGCAGAGCTGCCCAATTCACCCCAAAGATGGCTGTACAAGCTCAGCAGTCATGCAAGAGCCAGGCGGCCCTCCCACAATGGCAGCACCCTACTAGTAGCTGAGCCATTGGGAGTTCTACCCTGCCACCGAGTAGTATTCAAGTTCACTTGCTCACTTAAACCCTTCCAGGGCAGCGCTGGCCAGCACTGAAGTCTAAGAAAAAACTGCAGAATGGGCCTTCCTAATCTCTAGCCCTTTGCTGAGGTAGCTGGAGTTCTGTCTCCATTCTCACTGTGAATGGCTGCTAGGGAGATGTCTCTAGTCCTCCATCTTGCCAGCCAGCTTTATTTGTAACAGGCAAAAGCTAAAAGCATCCTATATTGTTTTCCAGTAGAATAGAGAAGTCAATTGGATGTAATATACTGGGATACTACACAGTAATAGTGAATAAACTGCTGTTAGCCATTATTGATAAATTTCATGAAGATAATATTGAGCAAGAAAGCAGAATTTAAGATTTCATATATTTATGTAAATTCAAAACAGGTAAAATTAATCCATTTGTTTATGTTAGGGTGAAAGTTACGATTGAGGAGTATAATTAGTGAGCAATTTTATGAGGCATGGGGGAATTCTGGAATGGTAGTATCTGTTTCTTCCAGGTGTGATGGCTTTGTGAACATGCATTAGGTTATATATTTATCTCAGAGACACACACAGAATAATGGCAACGTTAGCTCATAAAGAGGGAGACTAAAATAGATGCTAACAGCCTTTCATGACTATAAGGGAATGCGGCTGTGGGTAGAAAGGTGGGAGCACTTGGGAAGGGGAGTAGGTTAAGGTAATAAACTGCAGAGGAAAGGAGTTTTTCTTTTCTTTTCTTTCTTTTTTTTTTGAGACAAAGTCTCAGGCAATTGCCCTGGGTAGAGTGCTGTGGTGTCACAGCTCACGGCAACCTCAAACTCTTGGGCTTAAGCGATTCTCTTGTCTCAGCCTCCCAAGTAACTGGGACTACAGGCGCCTACCACAATGCCTGGCTGTTTTTTTTGTGGTCGTTGCAGTTGTCACTGTTGTTTTAGCTGGCTTGAGCTGGGTTCAAACCCACCAGCCTTGTTGTATGTAGCCGGCGCCCTCACCACTGAGCTATGGGCGCAGCTGGGAAAGGAGTTTTTCTTCAGTGGTAGGAGTAATGGCCTGGAAGAGCCAGGAGTAACAGGAAATTGCTAACACTGCTTTCTATTGTAAGTATGTTTAACGTGGGAGAATGAACAACTTCCATTTTTAAAGGAGAACTAGATATTAGGGAAATACATACCAAATACTAGGCTTCCTATGCCTCAGAACCACCTGCAGAATTTTTTTGGAAAAGTTCCTGGATTCCACTTTCATAGTCTTTTTTTTTTGGCAGTTTTTGACCGGGGCCAGGTTTGAACCCGGCATATGGGGCCAGCGCCCTACTCCTTGAGCCGTAGGCACTGACACCACTTTAATATTCTTGTTCAGTATACCTGGGTAAAGTGAGGAATCTTTATAATCATTAAAATTCCTTCACCTGACTGATACATAGCCTGATCTGAGAATGTCCCACTAATAGAAAAGGAATACAGTTTCTTCACAGTTTCAATGTGAAGAGGGAATGTTTTTCTGCTACTTATTAGGAATTGCAGTAGATACAGATGTTGGGATGGAAAAGTGGCTCTGAGATAATCCTTACAAGAGGAGACAGAACTGGGAGCAAGTGAGAACATGGGGATGTAAAAAGCATAAATTGCTAATTGGCTTGACAGTTCTAAATAATGGAACTTTTCTCATAAGTTGTCTCCTGCTGACTTTCTTCGAAATACTGATGGATAGTCAGAACCTTACTATTTTATTTTATAGGACCTTACTGTATATAGCCTTTTTAAAAGGTAGTATCTCTTTATAATGTATTTAATAGTTTTATTGAAGGAGGACAGTTTTAACCAACATTTCCATACCTGATATTTGCTAGCCATTATACTTGTTTTCCTTAGCTTAAGGAGTTTAGTCCAATATAGTTGGTAGAAGGTAGACAGCTGCTCACCAATGTCTGTAATATACATCAGTTCTTAGCAGGTTCTGTTAGAAAACTTTACATTGTACTCCACTGTTTAGTTACACTTCATGAAAAAGTGTACCAAACTGTAATAACCTGTACATTTTGCTGTCTAATGACCTGGATCAGATTCTGATTCTGTTGTCCAGGTCTTTGGAATCTGTTATTCCATAAAAATTTATCTTTCATCTAAGACTGATTTCCTGTTCCCTGCCCTCACCCTTCTCTCCCCAATTGTGCACATTGCAAGCATTGTTATCTTTTTATTTTTAGAGCTCAGCGTGGGATTGATGATTTTACTCCTGAATTCTAGGTACTAATGAGCCCACTGGTCAGTCATTGTGCTAATATACATCTCTCTGACATTATGATTTCTTGCCTTCTTGTCATGAACCTTAACTCCTGTAGGTCCATAGATAGGTATTCAAACAGTGTTAGCCAGGTTTTTTTTTTTCTTTTAAGTATGCTTAATTTGTGCAAATACATACTGTTAATACATTTTCTACATCTCAATTTCTTTTGCAGGTAGTAGCCATGCCTACGTGGGTGCCAGTAGCAGAATGTCGAGAAGAACACATTTATGCTCTGCTGCTACCAGCAGTTTATTAGACATTGATCCCTTAATTTTAATACATTTGCTGGACCTTAAGGATCGGAGCAGTATAGAAAATTTATGGGGCTTACAGCCTCGCCCACCTGCTTCACTTTTGCAGCCTACAGGTAAAATAATAATGACCAATTTCCCTTTTTTCTGTAGTTCTCTAAAAGAGCTTTTGAACTTTCATTTCAGTATTTCTGCTAAGTGTTGGAACATGATATATTTCTGTAGCAAATTGATTTTTTGGTTTATGCCAGAAAAATGACATTTATATCAACCAAATTAATTTTTTTTGTTCAAAGGTATTTTATGCAAAAACAAAGTAAAAATGTCTGTAAGACAGTTTTTGATATGATTTGCTATTTAGAAGGTGCCTAACTGACTATTTGATTCATGTGAAGTACATTGTCCTCTTTGTGAATGGACTTTGAGTTTTTTAGGCCTCATGAATTCCCTCATTTCCAAGTGTAACGGTGTATAAATTGAATATAGATTTTTACCTTTTACTCATGCTTTAATGTTGAGTAGATTAAAGATGTATTCCACTTGGTTGTTTGTACCTTCACATTAATCCGAAATAAAAAATAAATAATAAAATAAAAATGTATTCCAATTGGTAGCAATGTTTTATGTACAAGAGTATTGTTAAAGAGAAATTATATTTGTTTTATTGTAATAAGATGGAGATTTGTATCATTATAATTAGGCTTTTTGAAACTCTCAGGGGTAGAGTCATTTTGGACAGCTTTACCATGGGCAGCACCTGTGGCTCAAAAGGGCAGGGTACT